ACTATGCTCGGGCGTTCGAGCAGCATGCCCAGGCTTTGACGCGGCCATCCGCGCCACGTGGGGCCGCCAGCCCCCCCAACCGCCTCCGACAGCACCGACGTCCTCTACCGCCGCCCCGGCAGCCACCCCAGCACCGACGCGGCCGTTCAGGCGCCTTACTCAGGCGGAGCAGCTGGAACGCCGGCGCTTGGGCCTGTGCTTCAACTGCGATGCGCCCTATGCGCCGGGCCATGTCTGCCCGCGCCTCTTCTACTTGGAGACGACGGACCAGACCGAGGATGACACCCCGGAGGTTGACCTCGGCGCCCAAGCCCTTGCGGAGCCCGCAGCGGCACCCGCACCTGCCCCGGCTACCGCCCTCGTGGTGTCACTTCACGCGCTGGCCGGCATCCATGATGAACGGACGATGCTCGTACGGTCATGATCCATGGCGAGCGCCTGGTGACCCTCCTGGACACAGGTTCCACGCATAATTTCCTGCCGGAGGCCACCATGCGGCGCCTTGCACTACAGCCGACCGGAGGGGAGCAGTTGCGGGTCACTGTCGCTAATGGCGACCGTCTACGCTGCCACGGGCTCGCCCGCGATGTGCCCATCACTATCGGTGACGAGCACTTCACCATCACCTGCGCCGGCATCGATTTGGGTTGCTTCAACTTCATCCTCGGCGTCGACTTCTTGCGCACGTTGGGTCCCATTCCCTAGGACTTCGACGCGCTGACGATGACCTTCTGGCGTTTGGGTCGTCGCATTCGGTGGGACGACATTGGGGGGGCCGCACCCGCACCCCCTCTTCAGCTGGTCGCAACGGCCGTCGAGGCCGAGCATCCGCTCTTGGACGACCTCCTGCAGCAGCACCGGGATCTCTTTGAGGAGCCACAGGGCCTGCCACCGGCCCGGATCTACGACCACCGTATTCACCTCCTTCCGGGATCGGCCCCTATGGCCGTACGGCCTTACCGGTATCCGCAGCTGCAGAAGGACGAGTTGGAGCGGCAATGTGCACTCATGCTTTCCGCCAGCATCATCCGCATCTCCACGTCACCATTCACAGCGCCGGTCCTCCTTGTTCGTAAGTCGGATGGCAGGTGGCGTTTCTGCATCGACTACCGCGCCCTTAATGCTCTCACATTGAAGGACAAGTTTCGTATTCCGGTTGTCGATGAGCTTCTCGACGAGTTGCACGGGGCGCGCTTCTTCACCAAGCTGGATCTCCGGTCCAGGTATCATCAGGTGCGCATGCACCCGGATGACATCGCCAAGACGGCGTTTCGGACTCACCATGGCCACTTTGAGTTCTTAGTGATGCCCTTTGGCCTCTCCAACGCCCCAACGACCTTTCAGGCCTTGATGAATGATGTCCTACAACCCTACTTGCGTCGGTTTGTGCTCGTTTTCTTTGATGACATTCTTATCTACAATGCCTCGTGGGCAGAGCACCTCCAGCATGTGGCTATCGTCTTCAACGAGCTTGGGGCGCATCATCTTCATCTTAAGCGCTCGAAGTGCTCATTCGGGATGCCTTCTGTCGCTTACCTCGGCCACGTCATCTCGGCCGAGGGAGTGGCCATGGACGCCGACAAGGTGGCGGCCGTCGCCGCCTGGCCGATTCCGCAGTCTCAGCGGGCTCTTCGCGGGTTCCTTGGCCTCGTGGGGTACTACCGGAAGTTCATTCAGGAATTTGGCCTAATTGCGGACCCGCTCACGCGTCTTCTCCGTCGCGACGCCTTCTCTTGGGATGAGGAGGCCACTACAGCGTTCGAGGCCCTCAAGGGGGCCCTCACGACGGGACCGGTCCTGCAGATGCCGGATTTCGACCTCCCATTCACCGTCGACTGCGACGCCTCCGGTGTGGGGTTCGGTGCGGTCCTTCATCAAGGCGATGGACCCCTCGCTTTCTTCAGCCGCCCCTTTGCCGCACGCCATCTTAAGCTGGCGGCGTATGAGCATGAGCTCATTGGGTTGGTGCAGGCAGTACGCCATTGGCAGCCCTATCTTTGGGGTCGTTCCTTCCGGATCCGCACGGACCATTACAGCCTCAAGTTCATGCTGGATCAGAGGCTCTCGACGGTACCCCAGCACCAGTGGATCAGTAAACTCTTTGGCTTTGACTTCACCGTCGAGTACCAGCCGAGTCGCCTTAACACCATCGCCGACGCCCTGTCTCGGCGTGACGCCGATGTGGACGAGGTGCGGCGGAGGGGGCGGCCTTCTGCATCATCATCGGGCCCTCCTTCGCCCTCTACGCCGACATCCGACGGGCGACCGCTGTCGCGACCGACTCCCTCCTCCTGCAGCAGCAGCTAGCGGCGGGAGAGCTGGAGGAGCCGTGGCGCCTCGCCGATGGCCTGCTCCTCCATGGGCGCAGGGTCTTCGTTCCGGCGCACGACGATCTTCGCCAGCAGGTGCTGCGCCTCGCCCACTCGGCGGGCCATGAGGGGGTGTAGAAGACACTCCATCATCTCCACGCCGACTTCTACATTCCCGGTGATCGTGCCCTGGTCCGTGACTGGGTACGGTCTTGTGTGACGTGCCAGCGCAACAAAACGGAGACTCTACGGCCGGCTGGCATGCTTCAGCCCTTGGAGGTCCCATCTCAGGTTTGGGCGGACATCTCCATGGACTTCATCGAGGGCCTTCCCAAGGTGGGCGGCAAGTCCGTCATTCTCACGGTGGTCGACCGCTTCTCCAAGTATGCTCACTTCATCGCACTTGGCCATCCCTATTCAGCGGCGTCTGTCGCGCGGGCCTTCTTCGATGGCATTGTCCGTCTCCACGGGTTCCCTTCTTCGATCGTCAGTGATCGGGACCCCGTGTTCACGGGACACGTGTGGCGCGACCTTTTCCGGCTGGCGGGCGTGAAGCTACGCCTGAGCACCGCCTTCCACCCTCAGACGGATGGCCAGTCTGAGATCGTTAACAAGGTGATTGCCATGTATTTACGTTGTGTTACAGGTGATCGACCTCGCGCATGGGTGGACTGGCTCTCGTGGGTGGAGTACTACTACAACACCTCTTATCACTCCGCCCTCCGTACTACGCCCTTTGAGGTGGTGTATGGCCGGCCACCCCCGCCGATCCTTCCGGTTGATCCGGCCTTGGCACGGACCGAGGCGGCCGGGGCTCTTCTGAGGAGCCGCGATGAGATGCTCGCGGAAGTCCGGCAACGGCTCCTACAGGCACAGCAGTTGGCCAAACATTACTATGATGGCCACCATCGCGAGGCGGAGTTCGCGGTGGGTGATTGGGTCTGGTTGCGTCTACTTCATCGCTCTACGCAGTCCTTGGACCCACGCGCGAGGAAGAAGCTCGGTCCTCGCTATGCCGGTCCCTTTGCTATCCTGGAACGCATTGGGAAAGTGGCTTACCGTCTTCAGCTTCCGGCCGGCGCGCGGATCCATGATGTCTTCCATGTCGGGCTGCTCAAGCCATTCCGCGGCGAGCCACCTGCGGCACCACCGGCACTTCCACCGATCACGGACGGGCGTCTCCTTCCTGAGCCAGAGAAGGCGTTGAAGGCTCAGCTGCAACGGGGCTCCTGGTACGTGTTGATTCAGTGGACTGGACTACCAGAGGAGGACGCTACTTGGGAGCAGCGCGAGGAGTTCCGCCAGCACTACCTCGACTTTCAGCTCGAGGACGAGCTGTTTGCGCAGGCGGGAAGAGATGTTATGACCGGCCAGGTCTATGGCCGCAGGGGGCCCACTGGGCAAACTTAGCCCTCAAGTTATCTTAGTTTTATTTCATATCGTGGTTATATGTACGACTTGTAAGACTATTTTGAGAATCAAGCAATAAGACTATTTCTATTGCCCGGCTCCCAGAGGAGCCGGAACCCTAAAACCCTAGCCGCCTCCTGCCTCCGCTGCCGCCCCACGCGCAAGGACGGCGCCTCACCGCCGGCCGCCGCGCTCGAGCCCTCGCCCCTCTCCCTCCTTCCCCTACAGCCTCCGGCCAAGACCGGGCAGAACCCTAGCTCCTAACAAAGTTACTATCTTCATAATGCAAAGTAACATAATAGTAGTAACTTAGATGGCTTCATTAATTATTTTGTAGACTCATCTTGTCTTGAAAAGCGCTATGTTACAGTAACATATTATGTTACCACCTCTCATTAATTACTTGCCACATAAGCAAAAAATTCTTGAAGTGCGCTATGTTACTAGCTAAGTTACTCCCACTATGACTAGCCTAAGTGAAAGTTCAAGTCCGTTGGCACCTGAGACCCACTAGATATTTCCATCCAATGACCTAACTATAATAATAGCATATGATGTGTACTCTCTCTTTATTGATTAGGTACATCAGAATCAAGGATATTATCCTTCTATTAGTTTCTTATACATTTAAGTGAGAAAATATTGAGAGCAAAAATAAGAGGATTATTAAAACTGATGCACGCCTTATACATTCAAATAAGACTGAAGAAGAAATTTGTCCTATACATTGAAACGAATTGGTAGAATTAACTTACTGGAGATCATCGATGAATCCCATTAATCATATGCATAGAGGCATGCAACCATTCGATACGTGGTTGAATTATAAGCTAATCTTGTATGTTGTGCCACTTGCAGTGATCTGTGCTACCAATTCGTTTACAATGAATTCACTAATGCAGGGAGCATGTATCATCTGAATGGCTTTGTTTTAATGATACCAGAGCAATAATGTTTTATCCGGAGATAGAATTCCTGGAAAGGCTAACCCCCAAGTGCCAAGTGTCAACTATACAAGAATGGTGGACTGTGTCAGAACAAGCGCCGAAGAATTTGTGAAAAAACAAGGTTGCAACAACCTCTTACCTTTATACTAATGTTGAGGCCATATTCAGCGTCAATGAAATTCAAATACAATGCAACCTCTTGCTGAGGTATGTGATCTAAAAATATGATGACAACACTGTTCATACAGTTAGCTGGCTGTATTCCTATATCTGGAACATTTCAGTCTAGCCACCTGGCAGCCTCATTTGCCCAGCTGACTTATACCCGTTGAGTTTACCAATAATCTTCACAAGAGCAATTACCATTCTCAAACTTGTGCAAATACTTCGGATCCTTGATCAGTATCTGACGCCCATACTTCTCCGAAACTAACTTAGCGAAGGTGTGGCAATGGTTACACATCCTTGCAGTTTTGATTATCTGTATGCTTCTGAAGTGAGGGGAATTCAAAATCCCAACAATAATTGCTAATTTCTCACAATGGATTCTCGCAACTTCTTCCATCTCTTCTTCCACTTCTAGAGTTCCATTACCAGCGCTAAGCATAGAGGGTCCCATTTCAGTCATCATCAATTTTAATTCAGCTGCTTCATGCTCCGAGGCAACCTTATCACCAGTTGAGAACAAATATACCATATTTCTGATTTCTGTTGAACAACTCTCAACCCCACCCAACATTCTTTCCTTGCTGTGTACTGTCACCTTTGGCACATCAAAAGATTGTCCAGCAAGATCCTGAAGACTAGAAACCACTACTTGGATTCTAGGATCATTCGGTTCAATCATCGACATCTCTGTAGCCGCCAGTAGTGCCAGCCTTACATTTCCATGCATTCTTGCTGAGGTTAGTAATGACTCCCACAGTATTAAATTGGGTGTGAGTGGCATTTCATCAATAATTGCATATGCCTCTTGCAGTCTCCCAGACCGTCCAAGAAGGTCTACCATTGCTGCATAATGATCTAAATCTGGGGTTACATTATAGTCTTTGTCCATATTGAGAAATATTTCTCTCCCTTCAGATACCATCCCCTCCATACCATAGGCCCTGATAACAGCTGTCAAAGTCGTATGATCTGGCAGTACACCTTGTTGCTTCATTTTAAAGAAGTAGTCCACTACTTTAGTTGGAGACCCATGCAGCAAATGTGCAACAATGATGCAATTCCATGAAATAGTGTTCCTTGATGAGTGCCTATCAAAAACAGCACAAGCGCCAGCAAGATCACCAGATTTTGAATAGGCATTAATAAGCGCATTTGCGATTTTCCCATCCATTTCTAAGTTGTGGTGAAAAATACAGGCATGGATCTCCCGTACTTTCCACGCTGCCACCAGATTTGCGAATGCTGGGATGATACTTAGGATTGTAATGTAGTCAGGCTTTATCAGAACTGATTGCATCTGCCGAAATATTCTTAGGGCTCTATCAAAATATCCATTATGCACTGAACCAGCAATGAGTATGTTCCAGGAAGCTGTGTCCTTTTTTACTCCATAACTTTCCATGGTCTGGAATAGTTCAAAAGCTCTCTCGTCGTCCCCATTCCGTATGTACCCTGATATCATTGTATTCCAGGTTATCACATTGCGCTGGATACCATAACTTTCCATCTTGCAGAAGAGTTCATACGCCTTGCCACAGTACCCCGCTTGCGCATACCCTGCAACCATTGAATTCCAGGAGAAGATGTCCTTCTCGGGTACCTCATTAAATATTCTATATGCTGCGACTATTTCGCCACATTTAGCATACATGTCAACCAACGAGTTCCCTGACAAGACGTTGTTCACAGTCCCAATCTTAATCGCATGGCAATGGAGCTGGCTTCCCTGTCTCAATAACTTCAAACTCGCACAAGCTGAGATGGCACATGCAATTGTCATGCCATTTGGTTCCACCCCAGCCACACGCATCCGGATAAAACACTGGAGTGCCTCATCCCCTCTATCGCTATGAACGAAACCTGACACTAGGCTTGTCCATGTGACAACATCTGGTTCTACTCCACACTCTTCCATCTGTCCCAGCAGGTCCACGGCCACATCAAGATCCCCAGACCTGGCATAGCTCGAAATCAATGTGTTCCATGTGACAACCCCTGGCTCTGTCCCTTCCCGCCTCATTTCATCAAGAAGCCTCCGCGCTTCCTCCCACTGGCAAGACCTGCAGCACCCAAAGATCATCGAGTTCCACGTGCCCAGGTCCCGGCGCCTCATCTTGTCAAACACCGCACGCGCGCGCCCCAGCTCTCCACATTTGACATACATCACCAGCACCGAGTTCCCCACAGGCACATCCTTCACCCTGCCCATAAACCCTCTCCGGATGGCCATGGAGTGCAGCACGCTCCCGAGCCTCTGGTCCTCGGCGTAGGCGCACGCCTGCAGAATCCGAGTGATCAGGAACCTGTCGGGGAGCACGCCTTCCCCGATCATGCTCACCGCGAGCGCGAGCACCTCGTGGAAGATGCCCCTGGTGGCGTACGCGCCGATCATCGCCGACCAGGCGAGCAGGTCCCTGTGGCCCATTCCGTCGAACACCTCGCGGGCGGCGCCCAGGCGCCCCGCGGAGGAGTGGAACGTGATGAGCTTGGTCTCCGAGACGAACCGGGGCTCCCCGCGCGCGAAGGGGGTGGGCGGGCGAGCTCCTGTCTCTTGGACGGGCCGCGCTTGGTGAGGGACGTGGACGTCTCTCGCCTCGTCGAGCGAGAGCGCCAGCCAGGGCGGCGGAGCCTGGGCCAGCGCCATGGCCGGTTCCTGGAGGCGGCCATGGCGGGGCCGGGAGGGCGGCTGGGGCTGGAGGTGGTGGGATTTGGGGAGGAGAGAGGGGAAGGGGGGGAGGGCGAGCTCCATGGGGAGGGGAGGGAGAAGGAGCGGTTCTTGCGAGGCTTTGGTTTTTGCATGTTATCCTCTTTGGGTATTCTGTTTTTTCGCAAATGCAGACGCTGCAGGGAGGGCGCGCGCGACCGGTCACCGGAGCCGTTGGTTCCTTGTGGGGATTGCGCCACGTGGAGTCAACACCGGCAATCGCTAAATTATCTCACTCCTCTAGATTCAGTAGCAATTATTTCGCTTAGAGCACAGCTAATAGTATAAGTGCATATACAATGATTGATAAGATAGTTTTATCTTAAGTCTTGCATGTAATTTAGAGATGACGAAGAACATGTCTCCAATAGAAAAGAATTGAGTATTTATTATTAAGTTTGTCGGACTTTGATTATAACTACAAAGTTCATTTTTTTTTTTTGACAAAACATGGCTAGGGACTAGTTTGTGAGAGAAGATTAGTGCTAGGGAAAAAGAAGAAGATCCCACACGTCGTATACATGTACAAGTACAAGATTGGTGATCGGCCCATAACTATGGACATCGCTCCACGCCTCGGTCTATATCTAGCCGTCGCAACTCATCAGGCAGCGCCGCCGCCTCCTCAACCCTAGGCGACGAAGTCATCGTCTGGTGCGCCGGCCGCCGGCAAGTAGGCCCCCAGCAGATCCTAATGTTCAGGCAAACATCCCGCTAGCCGCTCACAATTCTTCTACGCTGTTTCTAATATCTCCATGCAAATACTCAATTGTACTAGGCAGTATATGCCGCTAGCCGCTCACAAGCCTGTCTAGTACTTATAGTATGCTAATCTCTCCATATACTTTGTAGTACTCGTAATCACAAGTCCGGCTAAGCCGCTCACAAATACGTAGCAGTATGCTAGCATGATGATCTAGTCTGCTTAGAGTATTTTGCTAGTCTTGATGTAACATAGTCCATATCTAGGAATCTAATTTGGTCAGAATATTTTACTATTGTTTGGATGCAACGTACTAGTTCATAGCAGTTTATTCGTCCAGCAAGTACTCACTAATTGAAGGATTTGGATCCATACAACTTCGTCTTTAGCATGCATGCATCATGGTCATGGAACTAATTATTGCTTGCTGTCATCACTAGCTCGTTAATAAGGAGGCTAGCTCGTTTGATTATTTTGGTGGTGTTTGATTCTCTAGTCCCAAGACTTTTCTAGTCACAACTAAAAAGTCCCTCCTTGTTTGTTTTCAGAGACTAAAAAGTCCCCAATCCCTTCCTAGAGGTTATTAAATGACCATGTTGCCCCTAGTTTATAGAAAATAAATAATCAAACAACACCATGGGGTGGCGGGCCAATGGATGCATGGAGGGGCATTGTTGAAAAAGTCCCAAAAAGACTCTCCTTGAGAGTCTTCTTCATTTAGTCCCAAATGCTTAGTTTAGTCCCTAAAAAATCCCTCCCGTTTGATAAAAAAGTCTTTAAAAGGGACTTTTTCTAGTCTCTACACAAAAAAGTCTCTGGAAACAAACACCCCCTTTGTGCATTCTGTACAATGCAAATCGCTCCTCATGAGACATAACATGCTTCTTCTAGTCTATCATATGCCAACTGCCAGATTACTTGGCAAATCTAGATGCTGCTGTGTACGCTTGCTACCAGTCGGCATTGTTGGCCAGCGATCAGTTTGATCTTTTGTTTACTATAGTCGTAGCATGTCAATTGTCAAAAGTAAAAAAAATAAAAATTGTTGCACGTAAAATAGGATCATAGCATCTAGCACTGGGCACCATGTTTTTTTTTTGTCTTGGAACGATGGATCAGTATGTGTTCTGTGTGTAGGGATCGATGTGTATACGACCTGTGTACACGTGGGATCTTTTTCATTTTCCCCTAGCACTAATCATCGCTTACGCTCTAGTCCTCGGTTAACGTTTTGTCAAGAAAAAAATGAACTTTGTAGTTATAATCAAATTCCAACGAACTTAATAATAAATATTCAATTCTCTCCTACAATAGATCATCTCTCAGCTTTATCTTCAATAACTAGTTATTCCTAAAAACGTGATGAGACATATTGTGAGATCATCTCTTGTCTTTTCTTAAATAAGAGAAGACAAGCCTTTTCTTATGATTTCTCTCCCCTCCACCTCATAATTTATCCTATGTGGCATTTCTAAGATAGAACCATTGTACATGCCATAACCGACCAACTGTATAAAGTCCATAAGGCGAATGATTAATGATACTAGACACACAGGTAACCTTCAATAGACTCTACAAGATGAAGAGTGTGCTCTCATCCACGCGGAGCGGTCTGGCCCAAGTCTGCGGAGAGCATCCGGGTCGGCTCCGGCATCGAATCATCTTCAGGCTGAGGAGCCGGAGAGTTGAGGGCGGCTGATCAAGAGCCCCACTTCGATGTGCATTTAAAATAAACAATTCAAAAGGGGCGACTCAGATTATCCGAAGACATGACGAATTCTGCATAGGAACTTACCTATGCGATATGAGTGGGCCACACTGTGGGCGATGTCATCCTTGTAGTCTGGGAAGTCGCTGAATTTTCCTCAGAACATGAGAACCTCCTTCGTGGATTTGCCCTCATAGAGGTTGCCCCGAATGGTCCGGGTGTGGTCTTGCTCTCGAGTATACATCCACATCGGATGTCCCCGGGCGTGGAGGGGATGGATGCCATGGCTGAGGGCCGCATGCATAACCTGATAGAGTGTCACCTTGTCGTTGACAAGGCGAGCCACCCTCTTGCTCAACCCTGCCACCTCTTTGGTTTCCTCGACCAAGGTTGCTCCTCAGCCTCCAAGAACCAAGCTTGGACGAAGGTGTCGGCGTGAAAGGCATGGTGATCCCCGCCCGATGTGGATCCTCCAGGGGCACGTTTGTAATGTAGAAGCATTTTGCTTGTCATTTTCTTGTTGGTCTCTATGAAGGTTACATCTAGATATCCAAAAAAACCGATCTTGCTGATGGATGCGTTGCCGCACTCGCATGTCTCAGGGGCGTTGAACAAAAGCTTGACGCAAAAATATTTACACAAAGCACGAAGTGCGGCGCACAACCAAGAAATGCGTCGCACACCGTGACAAAACACACAATGTGTAGAATGGCATTAGGAGCAATATGTGGAATTGGTGGACATAGAGGTAGAGAAGTCCCTGAAGGAAGGAGTGGATTGGGAAACCAAGACCTCGAACAAGGTGGGGGGGAGGGGCGAAACATACCCGCTTGTTCTCATCCTCGCGAGGCTAAGGGACCATGACGGACCAGGAACTGTCGTTCCGGGTGATGAGCGGAGAGCGAGTGGCAGCACAATCCGGAATCGGTAGGTGTTGGTGAACGTTGCAGAAAACAAAAAAATTTCCTACGTTTCACCAAGATCAATCTATGGAGTCAACTAGCAATGAGAGGAGAGTGCATCTACATACCCTTGTAGATCGCGAGCGGAAGCGTTCAAGAGAACGGGGATGATGGAGTCGTACTCGCCGTGATCCAAATCACCGATGACCAAGTGCTGAACGGACGACACCTCCGCGTTCAACACACGTACGGAGCGGATGACGTGTCCTCCTTCTTGATCCAGCAAGGGGGAAGGAGAGGTTGATGAAGATCCAGCAGCACGACGGCGTGGTGGTGGATGCAGCAGTGATCGCAGCAGGGCTTCGCCGAGCTTCTGTGAGAGGGAGAGGTGTAGCAGGGGAGAGGGAGGCGCCAAGACTTGAGGTGTAGCTGCCCTCCCTCCCCCCCTTTATATAGGCCCCCTAGGGGGGTGCGCCGGCCCTAGGAGATGGGATCTCCTAGGGGGCGGCGGCCAAGGGGGTGGAGTACCCCCCAAGGCAAGTGGAGGCGCCCCCTCCCCTAGGGTACCCAACCGTAGGCGCATGGGGGGCCCAAGGGGGGGCGCACCAGCCCACCAGGGGCTGGTTCCCCTCCCCACTTCAGCCCATGGGGCCCTCCGGGATGGGTGGCCCCACCCGGTGGACCCCCGGGACCCTTCCGGTGGTCCCGGTACAATACCGGTGACCCCTGAAACTCTCCCGATGGCCGAAACTGCACTTCCTATATATAATTCTTCACCTCCGGACCATTCCGGAACTCCTCGTGATGTCCGGGATCTCATCCGGGACTCCGAACAACTTTTGGGTTACTGCATACTCATATCTCTACAACCCTAGCGTCACCGAACCTTAAGTGTGTAGACCCTACGGGTTCGGGAGACATGCAGACATGACCGAGAAGCCTGTTCGGTCAATAACCAACAGCGGGATCTGGATACCCATGTTGGCTCCCACATGTTCCACAATGATCTCATTGGATGAACCACGATGTCGAGGATTCAATCAATCCGTATACAATTCCCTTTGTCAATCGGTACGTTACTTGCCCGAGACTCGATCGTCGGTATCCCAATACCTCGTTCAGTCTCGTTACCGGTAAGTCACTTTACTCGTACCGTAATGCATGATCCCGTGATCAACCACTTGATCACTTTGAGCTCATTGTGATGATGCATTACCGAGTGGGCCCAGAGATACCTCTCCGTCATACGGAGTGACAAATCCCAGTCTCGATTCGTGCCAACCCAACAGACACTTTCGGAGATACCTGTAATGTACCTTTATAGTCACCCAGTTACGTTGTGACGTTTGGCACACCCAAGGCACTCCTACGGTATCTGGGAGTTGCACAATCTCATGGTCTAAGGAAATGATACTTGACACTCAGAAAAGCTACAGCAAACGAACTACACGATCTTTGGGCTAAGCTTAGGATTGGGTCTTGTCCATCACATCATTCTCCTAATGATGTGATCCCGTTATCAATGACATCCCCATGTCTATAGCCAGGAAACCATGACTATCTATTGATCAACGAGCTAGTCAACTAGAGGCTCACTAGGGACACATTGTGGTCTATGTATTCACACATGTATTACGATTTCCGGATAATATAATTATAGCATGAATAATAGACAATTATCATGAACAAGGAAATATAATAATCATTTTATTATTACCTCTAGGGCATATTT